ACATTTAGTACCTAAAAAACCTTCTATAAACACCATACCTAATCCTTCCCCTGCAGTGTCTCCCACCAGTGCTGACAACTCTTCCATTCTTTTGATCAGAGTAGCTTTTTGGCACATCACGTTTGGAAAATCCACCTCATATACCACAGTGTGATGCAGAAGACCCACGTCCTTCAAACGGAAGTATAAGGAGTCAAAGCCAGCACCCAAAGACAGGACCTGCAGAGAAAGTGTCAGAAAAAGTTATGCTCAACTCTAACAGCATCCTGAGCATCTAGGTGTGAAAAATATTCAATATTATCTGCAGAGTGACAAAATCAGGCAAAATCCTGCAAGAGGCAGAAGAATTTTGTGTGGATATTGCCCTCTTCCAGATATTTCTGCCAAAGTGACACATGGAGATCCACGGTAGTGCCAGTCAAGATTCTCTTGTGCCCTCCTGGGAAAGGATCCCAACAGATGCACCAACGAGTTACTGGAGTGCCCAGATGCCAGAAGGACTTTTCACACATTTAGTGGAACTTGCCAGTACCCCCAGAGAAAACGCACCTGTGTCCTAGGGTGGCTTTGTGTCTTCAGCAGGAAGTCCTGGACACAGTGATCTACAGCACGGGCACGGACGTAATAACCCCTGCCGAAAGAAATTCAGTTGGAATCGCTGTCCAGAAACCTGATTTCTCCAGCACTGGCATCTTCCATTTCAGAAAAATAAAGATTATTTTTCCTCTCAGCTTCTACCCAATAACCCCTCATTTACAGACCTGCACTGGGAGATGACTTTGTCATCTCTAGAGCTTCCTAATAAATACAGATCTCCTGCACTCAGTGAGAGTATTAACCATCAAGATTATGGAAAACCCAGAGAAAACGTGCAGCTATCCCAGCTGGACCTGTTTTGTTTTGCATAAGTAAATATTCACTGAGTGAAACTGTAAGAATCCAGAAAGTGAGGATGCTCCCCTGCAATGCAGATGGCCAATACCTGAGCTCCTGTCCCAAATCACATGCTATAACAACAAAATGAATGAGTGTGTACAAATGCAATGAGAGGGGAACAGAAAAAGGAAGAGAAACAAACTCAGGAGAGGACTTCTGTTCTCTGGTTTTTGAATAAATGGAACTAAGGGAAGCATTTACCATTTCCTAGTCTGGCAGGGACTGATGCCTCTTGTTCCTTGGCATTCTCTTTTAGTTGGTTTCATTGTATATCCACCCGGCTATATCTGAACTCCTATTATCCCTTTAACAAGCATGCTTTCATCTCCATGCCTGGCAGGGACAAATATTTCACCAGATAGTCTAAGATGTTCCAATATTCATGATGACAGTGTTGATAACTGCAACACACAACCCTTTCTACGAATTCAGCTTGGCCTGCCAATGTTGTGTGACAAATCAACACAGGCTCAGCTTCCTGACTTGATGAGCCACACCTGTCTTTATAGGCCTGCAAGCTTCTGCTTGAACACCACTCTTTGTTTTTTTGCTCTGAACGAAACTCCTTTGGCAACTCACAGTCATTTGAATTGCTTTAAACTATTTGCCTCAAATAAACTCCACGACCACATCAGCCTAGAACCCTTTGCACACACACATTAAAACGTGCTTGTGTCTTGCAAAGCTCTGGAGAAGAGCTCCTGGACAGACACTGTTTATTCAAAAGATAATCCTGCTTCCCAGAACCACCAAATACCTTACTGAAATTGTAACGGTCAGGAGAGTTAATGGGAAAATTACTGACGTGCTTACATTAGTAGAATGTTTTCAAATCTTAAGTAGCTTTCAGCAGCATTAAATACTGGAGTTAGGAACCAGTCTGGTGGCACATTTCACTGGGGACAGAGCAGCCAAAAGCCCCGCACAGTGTCCCCTCCTCACCGGTGGATAAGCGGCGCCCGCCGGCGCTGCCGCCCTGCCAAGAGCCGCAGGAACCGGTCCTGGATGTAGCCCCGTGCTGCCGCTGAGCACTTGCTGATGGCACTGCTGCCGCCGGTGCCCTGGACCTGCTGGGACAATGGCACGGCGCTGCCGCTTCCGATCAACATCGGGATGGGGGGGCCGGGCAGCGCCCAGGGGGCTCCGAGTGGAGCGGAGGGCACGACAGCGCCCGCCACCCCAAACCCCGCTCTGACCCAGCCCCCGGGTCCCCGAGGGTCACTCATACCCGGGGTCACACACCCGAGGTCACTCACACGAGGGTCACTGACACCGGGGTCACTCACTCCCTCACACTCACACTGGGGTCACTCACACTCACACCGGGGTCACTCACACCGGGGTCACTCACACACCAGGGTCACTCACTCACACACCGGGGTCACACTCACTCCCTCACACTCACACTGGGGTCACTCACACTCACACCAGGGTCACTCACACCAGGCTCACTCACACCAGGGTCACTCACACCAGGGTCACTCACACAGGGGTCACTCACACAGGGGTCACTCACACAGGGGTCACTCACACCGGGGTCACTCACACACACACGGGGGTCACACTCACTCACACTGGAGTCACTCACACCCACACCGGGGTCACTCACACTCACACCGGGGTCACTCACACCGGGGTCACTCACACCGGGGTCACTCACACACACACGGGGGTTCACACTCACACTGGAGTCACTCACACCCACACCGGGGTCACTCACACCGGGGTCACTCACACTCACACCGGGGTCACTCACACACCGGGGTCACTCACTCTCTCACATCAGGGTCACTCATTCACACACCGGGGTCACACTCACACCGAGGTCACTCACTCACCCCGCAGTCACTCACGACTCCAGTCCCCACACGGCTCATCCCGCTCGCGCCTCCCCGATCGGAAGCGGGAGCACAGCGTCTGGCGCAGGCAGTGACGTCACGCAGGCCGCGCCCGGGAAACGGGCGGGGATCGTGGCAGGGGCGTGAGCGGGGCTGTGGGCAGGGATCGGGGACGGGATATGGGCAGGGATCGGGGCAGGCATATGGGCAGGGATATGGGCAGGGATATGGGCAGGGATCGGGGACGGGATATGGGCAGGGATATGGGCAGGGCTATGAGCAGGGATATGGGCAGGGATATGGGCAGGGGTCGGGGCAGGGCTATGAGCAGGGATATGGGCAGGGATCGGAGCAGGGATACGGGCAGGGATCGGAGCAGGGATATGGGCAGGGCTGTGTACAGAAGTGCAGGCTCCGGGAACGGCTCCATGCAGCAGGACCCTCAATAGTTTGGCCCGAGCTCTGTCCCCGGGGCTGCATGGAGAGCAGAGGTGGCACTGGTGGCACTGCCATTTGGGACACGGCTCTGTTGGGACCCCGGCCTGGGGTCCCCAGGCTGGGTGTGCCGAGGACAAATGGGCAGGGCCAGGGGACTGTCTGTGGCAGCCGTGGTGAATATTCGTGTTATTTCTCTTTAGGATTTGTACGGGGAGTTACAGAGGAGCTGTGGTAGCCTGAGCTGTGTGAGATGCCACCAGTGCTGCACGCGCTCTCCTATTCAGCATCTCTACACATCTTGCACTCCACAAATTAGTATACTGTGCTTTAAATAAGTTACAATCTCAAAATGTCACTTTTAAAGAGAATGGTCAGTGTGTATTTTTATAACTGGGACCATAAAGTTCAGTCCTCAGCCCAGTGCTGGCATTTCATCAACCACATGGAAGTTTTTCCCTGAGATGTATTTATGACCAAAATGCATGGCAGCGAATTGGGGCGTGGCCACGGGTCACTGCCTCCAGCCATCCCAGGAACTGCTTTCCAGTCCTACGTTTCTGTATCCATACTATATCCATAACAATCTTCTGTGCAAACTCTGTGAGCTGACACTGAAACATGAACTGGGCATCTTGGGTTTAACACACAAACACAGACACAAATAGTTTGGGGGGGGAGGGGGCAGGCTTGGAGTTTATTTCCCTGTCCTTAGTAGAAGACACCATATGTGTGCTCCAGGAAGGGAGTCCAGGTCAGATTTCCATGGTACAGGATGAGAAGGCAGTGTGCAGCCATTCTTGGGTCTGTGTGTGTGTGATCCTTAGCTGTCACAGATATAAAATCCTGTAATCACAATTTTATCAGGCATTCGTTTGGAAGCAGATGGGATTTTTGTTTCTATGTTCTTTTTTAATTTGGAAGGGTGTTTTGGAGCCTGATTGCTGTAACAGCTAGAAATCTCCAGATTTCTTGTTGCATGTCTTAATGGCTGATTTATATCCAGCTACTCTTGATTCACAGTTAGTCTTAATCTGAAGTTGTTTCTTTACTTTTTGGGCACACACAGACAGATTTATCACCTCATGGTCTGCTTTGCCAGACTAGGGCTAGCTGAGCAAGTTTGGCTGGTGGGAAGTAGAAGGCTTTTAAATCCATATCTGAGGGGCTGGTTGCTGTGTGGGAGGGGGTGCTGGCACAGACCTGGTATGTCCCTCTGCTTTGGGCATTTCTACAGCCTGACATGGTCAGGAGGTACCTCTTCCCCGATGTGCTCAGGCAGCTTTCCCTGCCTGGTCTCTCCTCCCACTCCTCTGAGGATTCCCCTGGGGCTCTGCATGACATTCAAAGCTTGTGAGGAATGCACAGCTCACCCCAAATAACAGAAAACATGTAGCAGAGCAGCACGGGGGCCTCTTGCTGCTCCCACCCGCGCTGGGCTGAGGAGGGGGGATACTTAATAAAAAGCATTTGCTGCTGCAGCTATCTATAGTCTGTTGTGTTTGGGAGGGGGCCCTGCCTGCCTGACCTCAGAGCTGACGTCAGAGAACCCCAAATGGGGAACAGGGAGTGATCCAGAGAGAGGCACAGCCAGGCTGCCCAGCCTGGGAGGGGACGCACCAGCACCACCGAAGGAGAGGGGAGATCAAATGGGAGGTGTTGTTCCCAGAGACGGATACTCTGTATCCACAGGATCAAGACTCTCCAATTCCAGGTGAACCAAAGAAGTTTGGATCTTTCTACTGGCTGACTCAGCAACGCATGATCTGTGCTTCTGATCCCCTACAAGCATTTTCCCTTCCCTGTTCTGCTTTTTTAACCGCTTGGATTCAAGCTGAAGGTTACCCGTTGGTTATCAGCATGGTCTCTGTATCAGCTTGCACCTGGGAAACAGTTCTAGAAATGATGAGAAGGTTACAGATCTGTGTTTTGCTAAGCAGGAGGCTGTGCCTTAATAACATTTCTACCTAAAAGACTTGGTTCTAGCACTACTGATATGGTCCCATTGCTCCCAGTCACTGCAAGAGTGGAGGGCTGGATTCATCTGCCAGTCTAGGATGATGTGGTAAGAATTGGATCCAGGAAAACATATGGTTTGAGTCTCGGATCTTGATCATTTTATTGTAATGTAATACCACAGAGAGGCCTCAGTGACAGGGCAAGGCTAAGGGCGGTGAAGGAAAATGTAGAGATAAACAACAAAACTTGTGCGTTATGCACACGGAAGTCTTGAGTGTGCAACATAAATACTGCATAAAATACATCTGTTTCATCAAAGAGGCCATGATTAACAAAACAAAATACAATCCCAGAGTCACAGAATGGTTTGGTTTGGAGGAGACCTTTCAAGATCATCTAGTTCACCCCTCTGCCATGGACAGGGACATTTTTCACTAGATCAGGTTGCTTAAAGCCTTGTCCAACCTGGCCTTGAGTACTGAATATAATCACAAGAACCAGCTGCCGAGTCATTGTTAAGAAAGTAAACATCTGCAAAAAACCCCATCACTGTCAAGGAAGATACTGTGATTTTCTCATTCTTTGATGTTCAGTGGAATCTTTTCTTCTTCAAAAGCAGTGATAGGATGTTTAGTAGATATCCTTAGATACTAACTGCAGTGATGTGGGAAGTGAAGAAACAATCATACCGGGTCTTGTCATAGAAGTTAGGAAGTGCAGGAAACAGTTGTAAGGACTTTCAAAAGGGGTTTGTTTTATTGCCTTGTCAAGACTGCAGTACAGAAGGGGGAAGCGAGATATGGGTATGGCTAAAATTCTAGCCTGGAGGGATAACTTTGCACTGGTATTATAAAGGACTTAGATTTGTGAATCAACAAGGAAGGTGAAAAGAACCAGCTGAGGAGATGTGAGGACCAAGGCTGCTGAAGGTGGAGTTTTGTTTTTCTTTTGTTTTTGTTTTGCAGAAAACTTAGACTAGAGGATCTGGGGGAAGTACCAGTGTAGGATGAAAAGGACATGTCATGTGAGATTGTTCAACACTGCAGTATTAGCCCTGGACAGAAAAAAGGAAAGGTTGACCACGTGTTGTCAGAGGGAGCAATGAGTGCCATTATCTATACAACCAATATACATTTCTGAGAAATGTAATTCTATATCTGTGTGGAATACCACCAGTGGAGATACACTGATATCCTAGGAGGTTTGCTTCCCTGATTTATTCCTGTGCAATATTATAATCTTTTAAAACCCATGTGTGAATAGTTCAGAAACTCATTATATTCTGTTATCCATTCCATGTTGAAGGACAAGAGCTTGACCTTAGGCTTGACCTTTGCCACTGCTACAATCATCTCTTTCAGAAAAATTACTAGAGGCTTTCGAAAAAATGTCTTGAAGTCTCATCCTTGCAGAAGAACTCTCATAAGCTGTCCATCAAGTGATAGTAACCTCCATCTGCCTTCCTTCTGCTCAGTGGGAGCACTCTCCATCTCCTCACCCTCCACAGAGCTCCTGAGCTAACTGCTGCTTTCCCCACTTCAAGGACACATTCCCAAATGTATCTGTTGCATTTACATTCAGTGATTCTGTGCATTTTGTGAATAAACATGGAATGTGCTCCTGGTGAAGTGACACGGCACGTTCTGCTGTGTTACACATATGTTCATGCTGTTCAAAGACCTTGAAACTCCATCTCAATTTGCTTCTGCTCTCCGAACAGTCGAACTCCAGTTCAAGTTTCTGTCCACTGCGGATTTTTTAAAAACAGTTATGAGTAAGAGAGAAGTCTTTAACTTCCATTGAGGGAAGTTAAAGTTCCAAAAGTAACCTTTGGGCCTGTGTTCAGGGGCCTGGTGTCTGGGGTGCTGTTCCTGCAGCTGCTTTGATCAGCAGACTCAAACCTCTCAGAGCTCTGTTTGTACTTGAGAGATAAAGACCCTTGTTCTTCACTCCGAATGCACAAGTTACATACTGGCTGCTTCACAGTTTCTTTGACGACTGGAAAGCCTTCAAAAATCTGGCTCTTACATTGTTTCCTCCTTAACTCTCTGTCTCAATTCCATGTCTGTAAAATGGGGATAAGACCAAATTTCACGGGAATAAGACCGTGCTTTTCAAGGGGAAAAGCATGAATTAAAAAAGGCTTTTTTGGCACATCAGAGATAGATAAGGGATGTCTGTGAGGCATTTGTCAGTGGTACATGAAGAGCTGAATAAATATGGAACAGTAATTCATCAACTTTTGACTTAAACTCTGTTGCTGATTTTCCAACGGATGATTGTCAGCAGCAAGGCTGTTTCTAGGAGAGTCCCACAGAGCAGTTCACAGGTACAGATTGGTGCCTGTGTCCTGGAAAGCAGGAATTAAAGGAATTATTGGTTGTATTAGGTGACCAGCAGAGTAGGAGTTCTCAGTTTGATGAAACAGATAGACCAAAAAGTGTTTGAAGAGTATTAGAATAAAATAGAATAGAATAGAGTAGAATAGAATAGAGTAGAGTAGAGTAGAATACTGAAAGTGTAGAGCTGAAAGTGACCAACGAGCCTCTGGTCCAACTGCAAGAAGGACTGGCATCACTTCTATGTATTCCGTTAGTACAATGATTGCTGGCACAATGTCAGTGTTCCGGGATCAGCATTTCAAACCCATCCTGGTTACAAGACAAAAGGAGTTCTGGTTTCA